TGTTGTGCGCCGTGGAACAAACACAAACGTCGAGAGATAAGGCAACTCAAATCAAACAATAACGGCACAAACTCAAACACAAAAGTTTAACGTGGTTCGGCAAATTGCCTATGTCCACGTGGCAAGAAGGGATGAGTTTCCACTATAGAGAAAAGAGAGTACAAAGTAGAGATTACAAGATCACTCAACTAACCTCTCAAACAAATCTCTCAAATCTCACAAACTAAACCTTCAAATAATTGCTCAGAAAGATCTCTCTTTTCTGTGCTCAAAATCACCTTCAAGCTACCAATTGCTCAGAAAGATCTCTCTTTTCTGTGCTCAAAATCACCTTCAAGCTACCCCAAAATCCAATTCTGACAACTGGAACAATAGAAAACCCTAAACAAAATGTATTTCTATTTATATCAAATAGAAAACCCAATCAGAACAGGAAACCAAGCCCAAGACCAAAACTGCATCGCAGTCGACCGTCGCAAAAGTCGTGGTCAATCGTGAAAACGACAGAAACCAAAATTGCACTACAGGGTCTCACGGTCAACCGTCGCAAAAGTCGTGGTCAATCGTGAAAACGACAGAAACCAAAATTGCATTACAGGGTCTCACGGTCGACCGTCGCGCCACTCCCGGTTGACCGTAAAAAGTCCAGAGACTTTTTTCAGGCTGCGTGCACGTTCGCGGTCGACCGAAGCTCCACTCGCAGTCGACCGTGCATCATCCAAAACGTTTTCTGCTTTAATTTTCCTGAGCTTCGTCGCCTTCGCCTCCAATTCTACAGTTCTATCTAAATGACAGTATACAGAGAGTATCTTTTAACAAAACCTTAAAACTAGAATTTAAGTCTTAAGTAAATGACTCCAACGAACTCGACATCCACTTCTTCATTATTGTCAACAATGAGATTTAACTAATTTTGATTTGGTTTCCTCTTGCTTAGGAATCTCATTGTCTTTATGCTCATGTTTTTCTAACCAAACCTTAAATTTGAGGCAATCTTGTTTCTTATGACCTTTCTTCTCGTATAGGAACTACGTGATTTGTTTCTTAATGACGACATTGGAAGCATTAAATAATGGGTTTCTTTCCCCTTATTTTATTTAAGGGCTTAGTGGCAACAAGAGCATCTTGAGATTTTTCACTTTTAAGTTTCTCTTCTTCAGCCACGCAACGAGTAATAAGGTCATTAATTTTCCAAGCTTTGTAATGAGAGTTAGAGGTGGTTTTGAGTAAGCTAAAGTCAGGTGAGAGGGCGTTTATGGGCTGGTGAATAATGCAGGCATCAATTAAGGAGGATAATCTCAAGGACTTTCAGCTTTGTTTGATAAGAATAAAATGTTCTCTTAGCCCTCCAACCCCATCACACCTCATAGAGTATAGATTCTGAAGAAGGGTCCTGAGCAAAGCATTAGTGTTGAATAATATCAAAATTAAAGCGATCAATTAAACCAAAACCAAAAAAAGAATACACAAGATTTTTATGGTGGTTTCAAAAAATAATCCTACATCTACTCTTCTTTCTCACGAAAAGGCTTTCTCACTATAACTAGAGTTCACCTGAATCACAACCCGATTTAGTAAGCTTGTAAAGACTACACTTTGGAATCTACCCAAAACATGTCATCTAACTTAACTCCTAACATATGAGTAACACCTAACCCTTAGCTAGTATCAACCCTCAACTCACACCAATTTGAGCACGCCATAAAAACAAGAAAAAGCAAATTAACCAAAATAGTTTAGCACAAATTAAAAAGATCTTATAGCCTTTTTCAAGAAAACTATTCTTTAAAAAAATTAAGGCGAAGCCAATGAATAAGCTATGATGATGCTGGTCTAAGGGAAACTCTCCTCACTGAAATGACCCAAAGATGCTAAGTTCGACAAGAAAGAGTTTGACAACGTTTAGGGGATTGAATCTCAAATTAACTCTTCACACAAACTCTAGAATAAAATCTCTCTTTTTCTTAGTGCAAGAACCTCTCCAAAATATGATCTCTTGTTATCTTATATAGCCTTTGATAATAAAGAAAACATATAGGAATTATAGTAGAAATTGAATATGAAAGGGAACAACAATGGTTGAGAATAAAATTTCAAATCTGCCAAAATACATTGTCACCGTCGATGGGCAATCCCGACCATCGATCTCCTATGCAACATCGATGCTACCTTGTAATCTATCGATTAGCTGAAATCTGGTTTCTAGAATTCATTGAATGTGCATCGTAGTCCATCAATGATATAGCTTGACCATGTATGGTCTCTTGTAGTCCATCGATTGTTTTGAATCCTATTTCTATTTTACTCTGATTGTACACTGTGATTCATCAACTGTATCATGACTATAAATGGTGTCTTTGTGACCATCGATGGTGCGTCAGCTGAAATCAACATGAATGTTGATTTTTTGCATCATTTCGCCTCGTCTCTTTTGTATACTTGTCTATAGCTAAAATATATGATCTCAAACAATCATCAGTTAGAAATGAGAGTTTATTATTACTCAACAAGAGATATTATATCAACAATATTCTAACAATCTCTCCCTTTTGATAATAACAAAACTCAAAATTTAAAATACAAAAATATATGCATCATGAGATATATATTCAGCAGATAAAGCATATGAACATTTTTCATGTAAAGGAAAAAGATATGCAAAGCTCCCCCTACATCCATGTATTCACGAAAGTACAAACATATATAGGTTTGTAAAAGTTCCCCCTAAAATAATGCATTGAGTATTTAAAAAATTTTCAAAAGAAATCATAAAACATGAAACCATTTTGAAAAACTCTCTATGATGAAAAAACTCACTCATGCAATTTCAAATTTTCACTATTCTCCCACCTTTGTTATTAGCAAAAGATGAATACCCACAAATGAGTATACTTTGTGCTAAAAAAAATCTCGATAAAAATCATCCAATAGCGTAAGGAAGAGAAATACAAACTGATTCACAAAGAGATTTGTAGAAAAATAGCACAATAGACTCAAATATAACTTTGAAACGCACAAAACATGTACACAAAATCATATTAAAAATGACACAACTATAATGATAAAATATCATAGAAAAGTTTGTGAAACAAATCATTAAAATAATTATATTAGTTCATAAAACAAATTCAGATGTATCACATGTTGATGTCACTTATCAAATAGGGGGTTTATGTGGGAGTTAAGTATGATTAGAGTCCTCTAACTCCTTTAGATGTCTAGTTTTGGGGCATATTGTTCATTCCTGCACATGAGAAAGCTCGTAGGAGGACAAAGTTGGGTTCTCCAGTTGTTCCTCTAACGATCAAGTCAGTAAGTGACCTTTAGAGTGAAAATATATAGGTTATGTAGTTTAAAAGTTGTTAAAAAAGGCTAGAGAGGTTACCCCACGTAACTGCTTCCTTTTATAGTGGTTTGGAGGGGTAAATTGGTAACTTAGGCCGAGTCCAACTAGGTTGCTGAGTCTACGAGCATTGTATAAGTGTTGATTACTGAGGGGGATGAGTCACCTAGTTATTAAATGTGGGAATGACAGTAGATGCTCGATGTTGACTGGGTCCGATGAGTCATAAAGACAATGGGGGCTAGAGCAATGATGACTTTATCAGGATAGTTAATGTGAGGGTAATCGACTTACGAGGGGTTCGAGGTGACTCCCACCTCTCTATTGGTTGAACTGAGAGCTGACCATCAATGCCTTTTTACTCAACCTTGCAAGATGTCGGCCTATAGAGTCGGCCGAGAGTAGGCGGACGAGGGTTGGTCGAGAGAGTTATACATGATAGATTTTGGTGAGCTGGACGACAAGTACCACCTTTTGACTCGGCCTCGCAAGGTGTTGTCCAATTGAGTCGGCCCTAGATGCGGCGAGTCATCTCATCTTTGTGGTGTGATTTAGTATGGAGTACGACACATGTCGGCTCCCTTATGAGGATGAGTATATAGTAAATTTTGGGTTGTAACATCACATATAGTTTTGAGCTTTGTAACACAACTTGAGTTATCTCAACCTTAGAACTAAAAACCAAGATCTCGCCCAATCATCTCAACTATGTATAATTTTTAAAAGGAAGAACAAGTGCTTGGCGGGTGATGTACATCATCTCTAAATAAAGAAAATATTTAGTATAGAGTGACACCCTTTGAGATATGCACAAATATATTCACGAGTGTAGGCATTTGACCATCTTTGCACTCAATTTTGCTATGGGGAGTGTGTGAAACTTTGATCATATTTTCAAAAATATACTCGTTTGCTTGAAATTTTTATAGCATATGTGATTTGTACATGTAAATAAATTTGGTTGTGAATTAAAATCTAAAACAAAGCTCAAACTTTATGATATATCCAAGAATTCTTTATGAACAATATATAAAAGTATTTACCTCTATTTCACAACACTAAACATGATAAGTATAAAACTAGATGTGTGAAAAAATATGATAAAGTATCGTGAAGCAATGTGTTAAGCGATCATAATTTCAGCAATTATGTAGATATATAATATGTATATAGATGTAAAAACAATATGCGAACACAGTGAAGGAGCCACACCTTGGGGCCGGGGACCTTGGCCCTAGATTTAAATAATAAAACATACAAGTATGTAGTGTGATTTGCTAATAGTATTTCATAGCTAGGGAGTAAATGCATAACATATGTTAATTTTCACAAACTTAATTATCTTTGTTCCGCCCTCTATCAAGTTAAATCATACAATATTTCTATATATTGTTATTTTTAAAAGTAGAAAACAGTTTTGATAATCATAATGTGGAGTTTTTTAAAATTTCTTAAACCAAATTATTCATCATCTTTGTTTAATAAACAAAAAGTGATTCGATTGGACAAGTTTTATCCTAAAATCGCTCTTTTCCCTTAAAAGTGATTGCATGGAGCTTTAATATCAACTTTGAGAACTACATGTAAGAAGCTCAATATCTCACATCTAATTTTTGCTGATGATCTACTTCTGTTTACCAAAGGGGATTCTTATTCAATGCACAAAATTTATGAATGTGTCAAAGACTTTGGTGCTAAATCTGGTTTAGAGGCAAATCCTTCTAAATGCTCTATTTTTTATGGTGGAGTTGATGAATCTACAAAGGATACTATCAGAAACTGTTTGGGTTTTCCTGAGGGGAATTTTCCTATCAGATATCTTGGTTTGCCACTTATATCCAAAAGAATGTCATACATGGATTGTAGCTCTCTCTTTGTGAAAATATCAGGCCAGTTTCAGACATGGTTACACAGGAAGCTGTCATATGCTGGTAGGCTGCAAGTAATTAAAAGTGTTATTCTGGGTATTCAGATATTCTGGATTTCCTGCTACATTCTTCCAATCAAAGTCCTTCGTCAAATTGACGTACTCTGTAGAAATTTCCTATGGGGTAAATCTGATCAGGCTTTCAAAATTTCCCTTGTGAACTGGACAAATGTGTGCACTGATAAAAAGCTTGGGGGACTGGGGATCTTCTCTGCAACTCAATGGAGTATTGCAACTGCGTTGAGGGCTATTTGGCACATTCATATGAATAAGGAATCTCTGTGGATTAAGTGGATTCATGAAAATTATCTGAAAAACAGAGATATTTGGCATATATCTGCTAAGTCTAGTGATTCATGGATGTGGAGACAGTTGTTAAAAGTTAGGGATAATGCTTCGAATGCCTGGGGGGAGTTGAAAATCTGAAACATAAAATTATTTCTTGCTCAAAAAATTCAAAGGTTCATCTCTCTGATCTATACACTGCTCTGTCCTCAACTGCAGCAAAAGCTGATTGGTATGTGACAGTTTGGGAGAAGCTGAGTTACCCTAAACACTCATTACATGGCTATCAGTGCAGAACAAGCTTTTAACACAGGATAGGCTTATCAGATGGGGGGTTATACATAATAATCAATGTTGCCTGTGTGATGGTTCTAGTATTGAGAACCGAAATCACTTATTTTTTGACTGCAGCTTCTCAAACAGAATTTGGAATAGTATTATGGATTGGTTGCAGTTTAAATGGAGATCAGCAGATTGGCATAGGCTTTTGGATTGGTACATTTCCAGGTTGAGAGGGAAAGGCACCACACAAAGAATCAAGAGATTGGCTTTTTCGGTTGCAATTTACAATATTTGGAGTGAAAGAAATGACAGAATCTTCAAGGGAAAAGTCAGGTATATTGATCAGCTGATTAGGAAAATTAAAGTAGATATATTGACTATATCTCTCAATTATCCACTACCTGCTGAAGACAAACAGTGGCTCCTCTCACTGTAGTTGATTCAAAAGTTTGATGATTTTGCTTTCTTGAGTTACACATTTTTTGGCAAAAATGTCTGTATAGTTGATATCTCTACTTTTGAGTAACTTGATGTACATAACGTTACATATTTGGTGAGTGAATAAAAATTTTCATTGACCAAAAAAAAAAACTTTGAGAACTACATTTTCTTATGTAGCTACTCATTCGTGAAGTTTACACTAATCTTGCGCATTGTAATGACAAGTATCCAAAGAGAAATTTTGACAATATTAAAGTTATTAAGAGTGAAACTGAATGCAAGATGAGTATATAATTAATTGTTAAGTTCCCTATATTAAAAATGGATATATATATAATTATATATTAATATAGATATGTATATATATATATATATATATATATATACATATAATATTAATATATATAATATATTATATATATATAAATATATTGAGAAAGACTGTTATGAATACATTTTCAGGAATAAATGTAAAGTGTATATAAATTATTTAAACTCTTACTGCATAATATGTATGTTTAGAAGGCTAATCAAATGCAACATATATATATATATATATATATATATGATATATATATATATACTATATACTATATATATTATATATCTATATATATATATAATATATATATATTATAAATATTATATATATATATATATATATGAGAGAAATGGATATGCTTAGTAGTAAGGTGTTTCATTCCTATCCACTCATTATCATTCCCAACCACTCTCCAATCCATATGAATGTGGGTCCCGATTTTAATGAGTGGAGGAGAATGAGACACTTCACTACCAAGCACAAAAACTTGTGCTTGGTACCAAGCATACCCTTTTTTTTTCTCTCTCTCTATATATATATAGAGAGAGAGAAATATGAGTATTCTTGGTACCAAGCACAAATTTTGTGCTTGGTAGTGAGGTGTATGTATATGAGAAAAATATGTATGCTTGGTACCAAACAAAAAAAATTGTACTTGATAGTAAGATGTTATAATACCCTCCACTCATTCAAATGGTTGCATATCCTCATGTACTCCTCAACTCATGTGTATATGGTCCCCCATTTGAATGAGTGGAGGGGATTGTGCCACCTTACTACCAAACACAAAATTTGTACTTGGTACCAAGCATACTCATTACTCTCTCTCTCTCTACACACACACACACACACACACACACACACACACACTCACACACACACACACACACTAAGGAGGCTCCTTTAGGTACATCTAAGAATGCACCTCTCAATGTATAAATTGGGCTACTTTAATGGACGATCCACTCCATTCATCATGATCTAAATATCTTAAAACATTTACAAAATAAAAATCATGATATGTGAATATTTCTAACACATATTTTTTATTGTCTCTTTTATTGTGTAGACATAAAACCGTTAATTTTACTATCACTTGATGCATTAGTAAAAATAACCCAATATGCCTAATTTTTGGTTTACATGACATCTAAATTATATAGATCAAAATGAACGGAGTGGATTAAGTATATTGATTGCTATAATATATTTTAGGTGACCTGTAGGTATCACTGGTGGTACTTATTTATATATAGGTACTTATATTATAATATATAGTATATATATATATACTATAATATATATTTATATATATATATATAATTAGCTATATATATATATATATATATATATCTAACTACATATATATACATACTAGATATACTATACTATATATATATACTAATGACTATATATATACTATAGTAATAGAATACTAATACTAGTGATATAGCACACACACCGTATATATATATACTGACTTTCTACTCTAAGAGGAGAGGGAATCTCGTGCTCTCAATGTTACCCTCATGGTTATGAGCCTACTCTCTAATCTTGTTTTGATGATTACAAATAATTCCTAACATTGTTGAGTACTTGTATTTGTTTTGTTAGGTAATATACACAAATATCGATGTTGGAGGTTGGATGAAAGTGAGCCTACACGATCTCATCAAATGGAGGTTGGCGGAAATGTCAGTATGAAGCCATTGCACGTCAAGTCATATATAAGATCAAGCTTCATCCATGTTACCAAGATCGAGCATCATGAATATTATTGTTTGGTATATTAGTTTAGTCTTTATAGTTGTGTGTTAATTCTTCAAGCGTAATATAACACACATATTTATTAATTTTATCAAAAGATAGGCATTTTTATGAAAATATTGTGTTATTGGTTTGTGGATGTAACAATCATTATATACATCTTTTATTAAGTCTATAAAATCATTTTGTAAGGTTTCAAAACTTTTGTTTAAGTCAAAAATAAAAAAATCAAGTGTTTATACAAACATGTATTTGAGTGTTTTTGCAAAATGATGAGATTTTACAAATGAGAAGTTCAAATTAAAAAAATCTTTTTGTAACATGTTTACTTTTATGCTTAGAAATATTTCTCAAAGTTTTATATATTTTTTGAATTATTTGCTAATTTTAAATGCATTTTAAAAGTCAGGTTTTGGACATGCACAGTCCCTGTGTATGTTCATAAGTCGACTTATCAGATTGGATAAGTCGACTTATGAACTACTCTAGAAAGTGCATTTAGCCTATGCCAAGTCGACTTATATATCATAGCAAGTTGACTTATGTCATTTCGCAAGTCAACTTATGGCGTGTTTTTCACCTTGTTGTTTTTCTTCTGCAAGTCGACTCGTGTGCACTGATTAGTCGACTTGTACCAAGTCGACTTATGACACCGTTAAGTTGACTTATAAATCAGACCATTGTACAGTAACGACTATTTTCAGATTCTGGTTTTGGTTAGATTTTTGGTCATTTTCTTTGATTCTTGGGTTGGTTTCTTCAAGCCTATAAATACTCCTTTACATTAATTATTTCCAACAACCTAAGAATATTTTAAACAAGTTTTAAAAGAGTTTTAAAGTTTGATTAAGTTCGTTTCAAGATTGGTGTTTGGTTTTCACAAAGAGGAGCTTATATCCTTGGTTGAGGAATTCATCCTCAATCTTTCATCATTTGGTGTTTGGTTTTCACAAAGAGGAGCTTATATCCTTGGTTGAGGAATTCATCCTCAATCTTTCATCATCTACTCTTTGTGTTTATAGAGAAGTTTCCCTAACTCAATTATCTAGCATTTTATTCTTGAATTTTATATCTATTTTATCGATAGTTCTTTTTGAGTTAGATTTTATTTTTACTCATGTATCACACACATATCTCTATTGAGCTTCTAGGATTACTTACACTATATTGTGGGTTGTGGTGAGTGATATTGTGAGAGTGAGCTTCATTGTGTTCTCATTCATTAATACTCATTTATTTGAGTTTGGAGGCAGAACACGAGTAGCACTTACGGTTAGCTTTGAGGACTCTGCAGGAGCATCAGTTATATACCAAGTTCAGCAAGTGTGAATTTTAGCTTTCAGAAGTCAGATTTCTCGGCCACGTCATCGATAGAGAGGGCATAGCAGTGGATACGGCTAAGGTTATAGCAATTCTTGATTAGGAACCGCCGAGGACAGTGACAGAGATTCGTAGCTTTTTGGACTTAGCCGGCTATTACAGGAAGTTCATCCAGGACTTCTCGAAGATTTCGACACCACTTACACCCCTTATGAAGAAGGGTGTACAGTTTATTTGGAATGTGGAGTTTATAAAGAAAGGCAAATTTAAACTCAAATGGGAGGGGCTGTTCGTAGTAGAGACAGTCTACTCGAATGGCGCATATCGCCTTATTACTAAAGAAGGCGCTCGGTTCATGATGCCTATAAACGGTAAATTCCTAAAAAAGTACTACTCTTAGTATGTTTGGGATAACCCATGACACGGGAAGTTCCCGGAAGAATACTATGTGGGGTATTCTTAGGGATAACCCGGTAGTTACAAAATTCATAAGCAAGAAATCCCCATTTAGATTCTGAATGTCCTCAATGATGGAATCTATCTCATTTTCGGGATTAGATTCACCAACTTTCGTGAATAGTTTCATTGAGACAAGATTCGATCACTTTGATAAATCAATCTTCCCTCACGAAACCCCCACTGGTGTTTGACAATTCATAATCTTTCACCACAAAGTCCCTCACTGATCAAGTCGATTGACGGTGAGTCCACAAAAATTTTTATCGGTTAAATCCATTCAAACCACTGCCGTGTTTGTGCATTTAACACTCGTGTTGTTAAAACACTAACACGACACCTTTTCCGCCAATCTTCAGCAATTTCAAACTTTGCGTGTTAAGTATTGATCACTTGGCATCGAAATCCTCCATCGAGTGGCTAGTACAAATTGGTATTTTCACTACTATCTGTATTCCACTCCCTCTGCTTTCTTGGTCAAACCTATAAAAGTTATGGCCAAAACCAGAATCCCCTCTCGATTCCTTCCATGAATGAGAGGTCCACTTTCAATTGAGCAATCAAACCTATAAAAATTAGGATTGCCTCAAACCCACTCGGCCAAACCTATAAAAGTTAGGGTCAAAATCCGAATTTCACTTTGATAAACGAATAGCTCTTTTTAGTTTAAGCAACCAATCCTATAAAAGTTAGGGTTGCTTGAATCTTCCCGATTCTCGGAGTGGAGATCTCACTTTTATTTTTATCTTTTCAGATTCTTAAGGTGGAGATCCCACCTTGAGTTTTCCGAGATAGAATATAAAATCCTTCCTCTTTAATTTTGGGAGATAGAATATAAAATTCTTCCTCTCCCACTTTGGGATTGTCTTTACCCTTAGAAAAGACACATTTCTCAACTTCAAATCCGCGTATTTCATGCGCGGGGGATTTTATCTCAAACCCTAAAAGAGGGATAAGTCTGCGTCTAATACACATTACTAGTTTAGTATTTCACTGAATGAAAAGACACCAGAATACGAGTCTGTAGACTTTTATCCTGAATCCTAAGTAAGGATGAGTCAGCGCCTAACACGCGTTGTCGGGTAGGCTATTCCTGTGACAAAGACAAAGTCTATGTATTCAAAATCATA